ACCCCCGCCTCCACCGTTCCCGCCGAGTTCCTACTCGGAGTCAGGTGCCTCTGAATATCCGGCGCTCTCGTCCTCTCCACGCAGGGCCTCACTCACCGACACCGTACCGAGTCGCGAAAACCCGCCGGTCCAGAGTCGCACCCCGAAAGCCCCTGTCCGTCGACAGCTGAGCGCGCCCGAGGCTGTGGAGACCCCCGCGTCTGAGCCGGAGCGGGTGACCGAATCGCCCCTCAGCTCGGACGGAAAGCAGACGGAGACGTCGGCCGGTCCTCCGGCTGTCACCCCGGGACAGGCGCAGTGCGACCGCGGCGACGACGAATCGGTTCCAAACAGCACCGGCAACATGGTGATGGAGTCATGGGTCGACAGTATCGTGGACACAGGGGCGGACTCAGACGTTTCTGACACAGAGACCGTCTCTACAATCGTGGGTCCGGTGGCCTCTCCGCCCGCCGACTTAGAGACGGATGAGGCCGCCCCAGCGGCGAGCCAGCATGTAAACGCAGACACTCAGCATCCGCGAGCCACGACACGCGCCCCGTCCCTAACCCCGTCAGAGGGGATGAAGACCAGAGCCGCAGCGGCGGCTGCTCGTGAAAAATCTGTTTAACACTCAACACACATAAAACATGCATCGATCTGATGAATTCGTCCTCCAGTGGAACACTTCCTCTCTAGTGAGCCACTGGGGCGAATTCAAGAACTATATATTAAATAAAAAACCGTTGATAGCCGCCATTCAGGAGACCCATTTTCTGGACTCAGATTCCTCTAATTACAACTTTAACATACGTGGATATACTTTATATACAAATAACGTAAATGAAAAACCCCGCCGAGGCGGCTCGGCCCTTTATATTGCTAATAACCTCTTGCACCACGAAATTCAGCTCCGCACCACGCTTAACGCGGTCGCAGCTCAAGTCAAAATAGCGCAACATGACCTTGCCATCCTTTCCCTGTACCTTTCCCCTAGCCACCGCTTTTCCTCCTCTGAACTCCGCCAATTGTTTGTCCAGCTCCCCCACCCCTGCCTAATACTAGGAGATTTTAATGCCCACCACAGATCCTGGGGCTCAACAACGAACAACGCGCGCGGAACACTAATTGATAAGATAATGGATTCACTTGATCTCATTTGCATTAACAACCGCACACCCACTTTCACCAGACGCAACCAAGGTCAAGTCATACACTCCGTCATCGACTTGGCCTTCACAGACACTAACACCGCGACACTTTTCACTCAACACGTCGGAGATGATACATTGTTTAGCGACCATTATCCCATTCACTATCAACTTAATGTCCCTTCAGGACAAGCCAATTTTACATTTCTTCCTCGTTGGAACTTTAAGAAAGCTGATTGGGCCTCCTTTCAAAAACATATAGATGAACACACTCCCACCCCTCCCCCTGACATCAACACCTTTTTAAACGTGATTCTCGCTGCTGCTCACCAAAATATTCCCCATACCCACCCCCCACGTGAAAACAAAGCTGCCCCTTGGTGGAACGCTGACTGCAATCGAGCTGTAGCTCTGCGGAAGCGTGCCTTACGAGTCTTTAACAAATGTATTTGCGATTACCATGAAAATGCCCTCCGGAAGGCCCGATATGATGCTTCACAAATAATACTTTAAGCAAAACAAGAAGGATGGCACTCCTTCTCTAACAACTTTAATAGATTTACTCCCCTTTCTAAAATCTGGTCGCTAATTAGAGTTTTTTATACAAGGCGCAGCACAACTTACAAAATTCCTCATCTCTACATTAACAACACCCACTACGCCACTCCCCTTCAAGTTGCGACACAATTCGCCCAACATTACGCACGAATATCTTCTGCTCAACAATACACACAAGTACAACATGACAGCTTTAACACAACACTCGACACCCTCTCCTTCGACTCAGCAAATACTGAAAATTATAACAAGCACTTTGACTTGTTCGAACTTAGACACGCCATATCTCGATGTGGTGAAACGTCGGTAGGGCCGGATCAGATAGCCTATCCTTTCTTCAAAAACCTTTCTGAATCCGGCCTTGAAAACCTTTTGATAGTAATCAATAATCTATGGGAAAACAATTTGTACCCCGAGAGCTGGAGATACAGTACCATCGTCCCCATCCTTAAACCCTCCAAACCACCCTCCTCCCCCTCTAGTTATAGACCTATATCCCTAACCAGTTGCGCTGCTAAATTGACAGAACATATGGTCAATGGACGGATTAGGGCATATCTAGAAGGTAACTACCTCCTCTCTCCACATCAAACAGGATTTAGGTCTGGCCGCTGCACGGCAGACAATATAGTCCACCTCATTGATGACATCCAGAAGGGCTTCCAAAATGACATGTATACATTTGCAGTTTTCATTGATTTTCAAAACGCCTTTGATAAAGTAAATAAACAAGCCCTTCTGATCAAACTTCATAAGACAGGTATTCGCGGCCACATGGCCCATTATATCTCTAATTTCCTCAAAGATAGAACATTTAACGTACGATGCGGTAACACATTTTCTCCCAATCTTAATCAGGATCACGGCCTCCCTCAGGGCAGTGTCCTCTCCCCAACCCTCTTCCTTATTATGATTAACGACCTTTTTCAAAATCCACCTAGTAGCCTTAAGCATTCTATTTTTGCCGATGATGTGGCCATTTGGGTAACGCGAAGAAACATTGACTCGGCTTTTGCCTCCGTTCAAAACGCAATGGAGGATATTAATAGCTGGTGCGATAAATGGGGCCTAGTCTTGTCACCCAGCAAAACAGTAGCACTTATATTCTCCCATAAGTCCCGTTTTAAATTTGATACCGAACTTAAAGTAAAGAACCAAACTATCAAATACGTTAAAACGTTCAAATACCTCGGCATCACACTAGATAGTAGACTCTCCTTTAAACATCACTTTGAAGACGTTAAAATGCGTTGCACTAGGCGCCTCAACATACTTAAGTGTATAGCAGGAAAGGATTGGGGTGCTGATCGCAGCACCCTCCTTAACCTATACACTTCCCTAATCCGTCCTATCCTGGATTACAACAGTTTTCTATTTGATGATATAGCTTCTAATCAGATCGAATCACTTCAAGTTATACAAAATAAGGCCCTGCGTATAGTTACAGGAGCCCAATGCACCACAAATATCAAGGCTCTCCACGCAGAATGTAATATTCCTCTTCTCTCTCACCGCCGTAAACTCCAACTCCTTCGCTTCTATGCGCGCACTTTCTTGTCCCCTTATTCGCCTTCGCACCGCATTGTCTCCAATCGATATACGGACGACCCTCCCACAACGGCCCAACTCAAATACCCGATAATCGCCTATCGCATAGAAAGGACACTTAGTGATTTCCAGTTGGATTTTCCATCTATTTTTCATCGGCCACCCATCTCTTCTTTCTTTCTGCCAGCCATAGAGAATATTGCATTCCTGTACGCAGAGGCAAAATCAAAAGTCACAAAAGAAGAAAGCATTCAACTTTTCTATGAGCATAAAGAAGAACATAAAGACTATGCATACATATATACAGATGGTTCAGTTTGTGACGGGAGGACGGCAGCCGCTGTCACATCTGACCATCATAACAAAACAAGTAGGCTACACGACGACCATAGCATATTTAGTGCTGAGTTGATAGCCATTCACTCAGCACTCAAATATGTCTCGTCGAAAAACATAGAAAAGGCTGTGATCTGCACAGACTCAGCTTCATCGGTAAAGGCAATAGCTCACAGAAAAATGGAAAAAAACGAAATCGTTTATAAAATAAAAAAGATGATTATTGGCTTTACCGATGAAAACAAACACGTCATTCTCCTGTGGATTCCGTCCCACGTTGGAATACAGGGGAATGAAAAAGCGGACAAGCTAGCCAAAGAAGGTCTTCATCTCCCATCTCGAAATCATCTCGCTCTCCCCCTTCCGGATTTTCTGTCTTCGCTCTTCCGTGCCTTCCAGAGATACCGCCAAAAATGCTGGATAGATGATCATACACCACATCTCTTCTCCATTAAACCGAAACTTTGCCATTTCTACTCTTCCCATCAAAACACAAGGATCAAAGAGAGAGTCCTAGCCAGGCTCCGGCTCGGCCACACACAACTCACCCACAACTACATCCTGGACAGAGCACCTCCACCCATATGCCACCACTGCCGCGACCACCCACGCTATACCATCTCACACTTCCTCCTCCACTGCCCACACCTACACCAACACCGCAGACATATAGTACAATACATTAACACACATGGACTCTCTCTCGACCTTCCGACTCTCCTGGGCGACACTCATCCGGATATCCACGACCTTCTGTTCGTCTTTCTCGCCGACGCTCGGATCATCAAGAGCCTTTAGCGTGTTAGGGCCGCGGCTGCCGCCCCTAAAACGCTAACCAGAGCCCTCGTCTCCCGGCTCACCCCCAAACTCACACATTAATTAATCGCGGTTACAGGGCTTTTTCCCTCGCGCCGTTTTGGCTTAGGTGCGAGGTTTTTGCCCTTTGCGTTAGGCGTCGGGTTTTTTATTATTTAGGACTTTTTCTCCCGACCATTACACCCCACAACAAGGCCCCGCCGGGGGGCTGGAGCCTAGAAGGTCTTATACCTTCTGTCAGTGCGATGAAAGCTTCCCGGCTCCATTACACTGACACCAGCTCACAAGTGTTCATGTCTATCATGTATTGTTAATAAAAGTCATTCCCACTGTTGTGTTTGCGACTCCAGACATCTCGGCTCTTTGGCTGTACACGTAAGTACCTCCCTTAGCTTTGGTTCCACATTAAGATAGGATCCCACGTTGTTTTTGCTACCGGGTTCACATAAACCGGTTTAACGTAACACTTGCTGCCCGGCGAAAATTGCCGGAGTAACTGCCCCCTGCTCGGGAATGGCACTAGGCCGACCGAGCAAAAAAAAAAAAAAAAAAAAAAAAAAAAAAAAAGGCTCTGATACGGACGCCGGTGACCCCCAATATCGAGATTTTTTACGGAAAACCCGGAAAACTAGCTGGAAGAAAAATAAACGATTTTTTGTTACTCAGCCATAGAAAACCAACTCAATATATTTGACGGGGTTCGGGCATTTTTCAATCAAAGCCGCCAGTTGTGCCGGTTCATTTCACAGTGCTATATTATAAAGATCAATTCTAAAGTTGAGGACCAGGATGGATGAAGCTAACCTGAATGATTATATGATACAGGTGACTTAATCAAATAAACATTTAATTGACATCAATTGTGCTGTGCATAAAGGACAAGACTAAGAGTGCATATGCTGTCTGTGGTGCATGTTCAGTGTTATCACTACCAGGCCGAGGCTATTTCAATTTGCCTCTAGGATTGGTTGTCATGATCAGAACTGCAGAGTCAGTCATAGTCTGTTGGAGTCAACTGTTCTTCCCGTAGTCAGAGTTGCCAAAATCCTACCAACCCTGACTCCGGAGTTTGAGCGCCTTACACTGGTTTGCTCAATGTCATGCCCTGCGGCCTGCACCTGTTTGATTGGTAATATTATGCTTGTTGACCTTTTTGAAATGAAAATTTTGTTGAAAAAGGTGATGCTCCTGTTTTGTAGAAGATTTTCAGCAAAAGAAGCAGAAGCCTTTGGCAGAGCCTGCTTTAATTCTGCATGTTATTGAATGTTAAGGCATATTACTGCAATGCAGTATCTTGGAACGCACAAGGGTGAAAGGATCGTTTCAGTCAAAATAAAACATCCCTGTTATGACCTTTATTATCATGATTGGATTTGAAGAAAATCATCTAGAGTCAGAGCTGGAGTTGGAGTCGCATTCAATTTTTTTAAGCTTGAGTCAGAGTCAGAGTCACCTAAAAAATCCATCAACTCCACGGCCCTGGTCACGATGATTGCTGAAATAAGTACTATGAAATGATAGATTATTGAATACTATACCTAACCTGGAAGCAATTCCTCCTTCATAGTTCAGTTTCTTAGGAAAGATTCTTAGAAAGTTTGTCTGATTAAGTTTCTTCAGTTTAACTTTGAAAACTTCTCCAGAAAATCCATGGTTTGTGCAAAAAATGAATTATGTGTGGACACTGGATTCTGGTGAGGATATTGGATTTGATCAATATGTGCTCTTTAAGTTCATGGATGTTAATATATTTATAGGCTGTAAATATATTTAATGCTTACTGCTCCTTGAGTCTTGTTACGTTTCATTGACAGTTTTGAGTCAATATCCATTGAAGGCTCTTGAATCAACAGCAGAGTGCACCATACTGAAATGACCATCTGTGCCCCACAGCTGGAGCAGGTGAACGCTGCCTTGGCAGCCGCACCAGACAATGAGGAGCTGCGAGAACTCGCCTCCAGTCTGACTGAGCTGATTGGTCTGACACAGCTGCAGCACAGCAGCTCTCACCAGACAAGCTCTGTGGAACCGACCTCTGAACAGGGTCTGACTGCCAATGCCAGGGGTGGTCAGGCGACCTCTTTACAAAACAGTGGACCTGCTCCAACAGAGCCATCAAGAAGCCTTGATGATGAAATGGCACTATTCAAGGTAAGTATCAAGTCTTTGCTTTCTTATCATTCTGAAGTACCAGCATAGATTGTTCGTGTATCCATCAGATACATGATTGCCACGTGTCATATTTTGTGTTTTGGCATCTGTTCCCTGCTTCTTTGTCCTTTACTATGCCCATTTTCCCTACCGCAGTCCGGACCCGTTTCCTATGCATACCGACACCTGTCTGTCCGCCAGATGGAGATTGAGGCGGTGGAGCAGGGGCAGCAGACCGAGCACTCTCCGACCGAGAGCTCGGCAGCCGGAGACGATGGGCCGTCGCCACCGCCGCCTGGTGGCAGCGCCGAGAACCTCAGTCTGAGGCAGCAGCAGCAGCGGCATACTGCTGAGCTAAAGGTGACACTAAAGGGTTTTAGAAGAAACATCAATAAGTCATAAACTGAGTGGTAGGGTAGCTCATGGAAAAAGTAGTAAAGAGTTAATGTAGAAAGTCACTCATGTAGAGCTCCCTTTCAGGTCTATCATCAGTTAATCAAAGTTTTATGTAATTAATTCATTTACACTGATCATTTATTCATTTACCACGGCTTTATCGGTGTCTCCTGGTGTACCTATCCATGATGTCTCAGACCCAATTTCCATCAGCAGCGTGGCCAGCTGGCAAACTTGTGTGGCTATGAAAGCCAAGTAGCTTACATCGCAAACTGCTGCTATGCATCACGCTTCCAGTAAGCCATTAAACCTTCGTGAAACTTTGCTCCGCAAATGGAAATAGTTTGGAAGTGTGGTAGCCAGAATTAAAAACCGGCATTGACGTCACGGAGTAAATGATGCGTTCAAGTCGTTGGTGACATGCAAACCTTTGAAAAGCACGATGAACCTGCTCGAAAGTCACACCACGCCGGCCTCTGACCTACTTCAGGCCTCTTATTCGTATGAGGCATAGCATACGAGCATGCGCCAATTGAGTGGTCGTTCCCAATAGAAACACGTACTGTATTAAAGTAAATGCAACACACTACGAAGTTGTCATTAACTGCCACTGACTGACGGTTGCTCTCTGTTTTAAATCCCACGCCTGCACGCCCTTCCTCCCCCCCCCCCCCCCACGCTGTTTTGCTTCCGTCGTAGTTTTGTTTTTGTTTGTGCCCTGACCGATGTCATGTCTCCTTGTTTTCAGTTTTGTCCTAACCGATGTCACGCCCCCGTGTTTGCAGTCGAGTCTGGAGCCCATGGTCGGGACGAGGTGTTCGGCTCCGTTCACCCAGTCGTGGGGCCAGCTGGAGTACCACGCCGCCGTCATCGAGGCTGTGGATGACGCCAGTCTGGAGAGCGCCACTACCCCGCAGGATGTGATGGTACGAGTACCGACTGGCCTGTGCCCTTGACTTGATGCAACGGATGGAGAGGGGGGGGGGGGTCAAATGTCTTTTGTATTGACTGAACTACAATCGAATTTCCGCCTGGGTTATTGGATGGCTTGAACTTGAAGGTCGAAGTTCTTAACTGAATGCCAACTAGCTTACTATCAATGCGATAACTTATGTATAATTGAAAGCATTTTCGCTGTTTCCCATACACTGGGTATCAATTTCGACTGTCACGCCTGAAATGCATTTATGCTACTCGGCGTATAATATACATCATGTTCAAATCCCCTTCGCCATAATCGGCCCTTCAATAGCCGCTTTCAACACCATCCCATCAACACGTTTCTACTAAGGTCAATAGGACGTCTAATGGAACCTTTTGACCCCTTTGGAACACCTCCCTCCGGTGTGGCGGCAGGTAATAAGGAGCATTCACAGCCGCTCCGGCGGTGTTAGGTGGCTCGCCACGATCAAGGCCGGGTAAAGTGAGGCGCAGTAGACGGTCTTATTGATCGAGCGCGCCACCGATTAATGTAGCGTAACGATCTAGTGCCGCCGGCCGTAACACGAGCGCGCAAACACGCTGGGTGAAGCGGCACTGAGCGTGAATGCCTACTGGGCTGGACGACTGCCGCCCTTCTTTTGGGTGATTCGTCGGCGAGGCGTTCAATCGCCTCGATGGGGCCTTTCAAATGGGACACGTCTATGGGATAATGCATTCGGACCTGACGGCCGCAAAAAAGTCGTTAGTTTCTGTCAGACAGGGTGCCCTTCAAGTGGAACCATTATCGTCCATTTGTCGACCCAAGAAGCTGCCAAAGCGATGAGTACGTGCTCGGGCTGGCATTTCATGCTTGGCAAATGTAATTATGTCGATTGATCTGTTGACCTTTCGTTTTTCAGGTATGAAGAACGAAACAGTAATAAAGAGACCAATATCTACCGACACCATGCTGTTGCCTATCTGAGATGACATATAATCCAATGGTGTTGATTTTGATCGCATTACAAACGACGCGAAATAAGCACCTCGCGTGTCTTCCAATTCCGCTGCCACATCTGTTAGTGTTTTCCAATTCGCTCACCGGCCGATGTTTTGTTCCAGCTGCGCGTTCTGTTCAGCCACCCGACCCAGAGGGTGATGCAGCCGTGCCGGTACTACCTGCGCCATACGTGTAGCTACGGAGACGAGTGCCGCTTCTCACACGGTCACCTCGTGTCCGTGGCGGACATCAGGGAATACAGGTAAATATTTATGACTGCTGCCAGGGGAGTGTCAATGATGTGGCGATAAATAACGTACAAGCCCGGACATTTCGGTGAGTGTGGGACAAGTAGCAGTGGCATTGGCAGCACAACAGAATTGCATAGCTATAAACAATACATAATGCTATATTACATTTGCGCCCCGCGTGCTTCAGTGCCAGCGGTCGTAACATTACCCAAAGCATATTCCCCTCTGTCGCATTATTTAATGCAACATAGCCTGTTGAGTGTGTTCCACAGGCGTCAGTCGACAGCCGTCCTTCGTGACCTTTCCCCTCTCCCAACTACGACTGAACGCCAGAACTGATCCTCAGCACTGTGTGATGATGGTCCAGACCCGTTCTCTCTGCTTCTCACAGCCCCCTCCCTCCCGGGCAGCGACTCGGCGTCAGAGCTCACCGCCGGCAGTGCGGTGCTGGTGCCGCGTGACTCCGACTCGGGCCTGTGGCAGCGCGCTGTGGTGCAGCTGGTGCACACAGACACGGAGGAGGCCACCGTGCGGCCCATCGGACACCGACACACGCGGCACGTGCCGCTCTCACAGCTGGTACCGCTGGCGGCGGCGGACGGAGCCGTGACGGGAGATGGGTAAGTCTGGGGTGTTTGGGTGTTGGAAGGATTCACAGAAGGAATACATAGTGCTTAATGCCTGGGGAATACCTAAATCAAGACAGTTATCGGTTGTCTACGCTGTGATTTAGCACTTTATTTTGTGCGCTCACAATGGGATTTTCCGGGGATCACTTGTGCTACTATATTGTTCTGTGCTGCTGTATTATCTATCAGGGCTGCGGAGTCGATGGATTTTCGGCGACTCCGACTCCGACTCCGACTCCGGCTTTCAAAAACCAGCTCCGACTCCGACTCCGACTCCGGGCGGAATTGTCGACTCCGACCGACTCCAACTCCCGACTCCGACTCCGCAGACCTAGCAGGGCTGCGGAGTCGATGGATTTTCGGTGACTCCGACTCCGACTCCGGCTCGGGTTTCTAAAATCGACTCCGACTCCGACTCCGACTCCGGTCACTACTGTCGACTCCGACCGACTCCGACTCCGACTCCGACTCCGACTCCGCAGCCCTGTAATATCTATTGTGCTTGCACAAAAAAGTTTATGCGATTTGCGATTAACCAACGATGTTCAATTTCGTCAACTAGTGTCGTTCTCCCTAAAGTGTAGCGTGTACTTCCCTCTACTTTCTCAGCCGTTTTTTCCTCAGCTCTGGCGCCTCCAGCTCCGACAGTGAGACAGAGAGCGAGCCCGGACGGGAACCGGAGCCAGATCCGGAGCCGGACCCTGAACAGGTCGAGTTCTGCCCCCGACTGACTTGGAACGGCACACTGGGCTCCACCAGCCAGCTCGGCGCCTGGGAAAAGCACACAAAGGTATGGGTGCTCTCCGACATTCTCCTCAGTCGCGGCATGGGTGAAAATACTGCTAGAAATACATTTTCCATCCATGCTCGCGGGTATCCTCAGTCCCGTGTAGCTCGCAAGGGTGATTTACCGTTTCCAAGGTGTGTTTCGCTGACCATCGATCCTGTGCGTCTGGGTGGTGTAAATGTTGGTGCTGGTGGCTAACCTAGCGGTTATCTCGTGTCCTGTGTTTATTTTCTTGTTTGTTTCTGTGCCGTGACAGCGGTAAACACAGGCAAGGCTCCGACGTCATTAATTATGTAATTACTGTCGGCGGTTGAAACTTAGGTCGGAGTTAGCAAAACTTGAGAAAATGTGTTATAGCTACCTGCCAAAACTTGTACCTACCTCAATGTTATCTTGTCTGAAAGCATACACGATTAATTAGCATGCCCAATCTCCACGTTCTTAGGCCTCTCACTGAACATCTGTCGCCTCCATTCTCTATAGAACAACCGCGTAGAACTCTGGTAGAGTAACCCACGCCCGCGCTCCGCAGGGTATCGGCTCGCGACTGCTGCAGCAGATGGGTTACGTTGTCGGTACGGGCCTGGGGCCGCAGGCGGACGGCCGGGTGGAGCCAGTCGAGGCGCGGGTCTACCCTGCCGGCAGATCGCTGGGTGAGTGAGTGCCGAGAGTGTTACGGGTGTTGTGGGGAGTGAGGGGTAGGACTGGGGATAGGGAATTTCAGGCTTATGGGTAGGGTAGACTGCCGGACATAGACGAAAGCCCTGAATGTGTAGGACTGAAAGGACGATCGTGGCCAAGAGTACGGGCATATGAGGCAGTCCACTTTGGTTTGTACCGTTTTCCTAGCTATATAAATGAGTACGAGCCATATGGAATAGTTTGTATGTTCAAGCTATTCCAGACTAAGCAATTGCATTTTGATCAAACTTTCAATCCAGTGCAGTCTTCGTCGTAGACTGGTTGGTTCCGGTTTTGCTTCGAAACAACTACCGGGTACTGAAAATACTCTGTACGTAACTGAAGCGTAGTAGTTCGCCTGAAACTTGGTATTTGCTATTCACACGACCGACAAACTTGGGAGTTTGTGAGTACGTCTCATTAACTCTCTGCAACAGCCTCCCGTCTCGCAGAACTGCTGTTCCGACGGTTAATTGGTCTTTGGCTGAAAATAAATGGAAACTGCTCCCGCGGGGCCGATGCGAGGTTAATAAGTTTTCAGTTTATATCTCCTACTCGGCTTCATTAAGATCCAGATTGTTGTCATCTGCATCTCAACCCACTACAGTATGTATGCCCTTTCGAGTAGCCAGTCAACGTTTACAAAATTATCATTCTATTTTGTCGGCAACCTCATTGCATAAAGTCTGCCATTGTTTGGTTGACTGATGTCAACTTTCTCTACGACATTCAATGATACCGCTTCCCTAATGGCTCTCTTTTAGACCGAGGAAGCCGGATAATTAATTTTAGCTCTGACCTTTCTCAGGATCATAAAGCCACGCGGCTGGTTCGCCGAACTGTCGGCTGCACAGGCGTCTTTCTTTGTCCGCACTGTCGCTGGATGGTGGCAGCGTGACACGGTGCCGGCGGGGCCGTCGTTATTTATTATACTTACGTCACTCACGTAGTCCATTAGGCCTTGATAACCCACTAACTTCACCGTAGTATTCCATCAGCTTGACGGTGCAATGGGTTATTGAAGAGGTAACTGTGGGGAGGAACATTTTTACTTATCGGTAGAAGTGAATAGGGATTCAGCACTCAGCAGTAAGTTTAGCCTATCGGGGAAAGTGGGTGTATTGCGCCCTCCTAATCAATTGCGCCCACCAGCATTCCCACGAATTCAATGGCTTGTTTAGAATTTAGGGTTCGAAAACATTATTTTCACCACTGGATAGTTCATTTTATGGCCCAAGCTCTCCGATGAAGCCAATCAGCAAGGCTCATTACGCCATCAAAGATGTTGCGGCGTTTTCTTAACTTTTTTGTAGTATTTTGAACCGTTGGCTATAAAAATTTGCGATATTTGTGTGATTTTCAGAGTGATATTTAGAAAGAAAACCCCTTTTTTCATTATATTTCACTGAAACAGTAAACTTCCTTCAACATCTTTATGATAACTTCTACGCTTTTAGTAAAAAAGTACCTCAATTTTAATTGCGCCCATGGCAATTGCGCCAGGGGGGCGCAAATATAATAATGGTGTAGCTATTGTATCACAACAGTATGAATGTATCATTAACTGATTGCAATAAAGAAGGAGTTTAATGTCAGGCAGAGGAGCAACCCGCTGTCGTCAGTCCGCAAATTATTTCTCTCGTTAAACTTATAATGCAGCTGCCTTTTAGGCTACGAGCTTGAGATCTAATTGACAAAATACGACATTTTCAACGTGGACTCAGGCGTGAGAGGTGACAGCTATGATAAAAAGTAAAACCTGATGTCATAAAGTTGTCGAAACGATAAAAAATTATTAATTTCGAGAGAAACGATTGAAAATTTAACCGCATAGGCGCATACGTTCACATATATCTAGTCGGCTACAGTAAACGTTTTCGTTGCACTTTTACAAGCGTACGGACACATGTAATGTTATCTACCTTGGCAAAAAACATCGCAATTTATATCAACATTTATTATTTATCCGGCCTGAATAACATTATAAATGTTTAAGTAAGCCGCAATGACATTAGACTGCCGGGGTGTATACATTCCGTCTCATTCGCTTAGCCATGTTAAAGTATAGGGCGCAATTGGGTTCTAATTGCGCCATCCCCCTGGCGCAATTTACAGCTGTTGTTGGCAAATGCGCCCTTTTGCATGTTTCTGAAAAACAGCTGTCAGAAGCAACCGAAACATTCTTAATTGATCAGGAGGCTCTTAAATCGTAGCCAATGAGTTCCTCTTTGAAATGGTTACCAGAGCATGCTTATATCTCCAGCGGTTTTCTTACAATTAGCGTTTTTTCTTAAGGTGGCGCAATTCACCCTCCTTCCCCTCCAATATCATGCGTCACAGAAAACATGAAAATTTAATAAAATGCGATTTCATTTAGCAGCTCAATACTAAATACTTCATCCAACATGTCTTTCTGATACTTTAGCTTCAACTTATAAACATTTAAGTACACATTACATGTAACACCCGCATTCATGCGGTGGAATTAGAGGATAATGAAGGCACGAACGTGGAGTTCCCGTGCAACACGTGGCCTAGTATTCAGCACCCAGGGGACGGGTTGCGTGCAAAGTTGGCGCCGGAGGGGATGGACAGGCATGCAACAGTGACGTTTGATGGTTTGGGGTGAGTGTTGAAGGTTGATACCTCGGGATAGTTATCGCTCAACAGGATACTAAACCTGATGATACTGTGGGTCAAAAGTGTTTTAATGCATTCGTTACTTTCGTTGCTCTTTTCTGATGATCGTAAAACGCATTCAACCAAGATCCACGCGTAAATCATGAGCACCCATCGACCGTCCTTTGGGGCAATTCTGGTGTCACATCCGTTTGTACTGAGCTCGGATGTTTATTTCAGCATGTACTGGGTGGACAAAAAGCAGACGAGGCAAAACGTAAAGTCCGTCGTGTTCTGGCTATATCTATTTTTGACCAGCCAGTGACTTGCGGTCGATAGTCAATTTGAACGGCGGATGCGATTCTCGAAATGGTTATTTTTACGCCCTCGACTACCGCCCTTTCGTTCTATAATTGATGTTTGGTCAGCTCCGAATCGAATGGGCGGTATTGACATGGTGTGCCACCACAGCTCTCTCCCTCTCTCCTCTGCTCAACCTCTTTCCTACTCTCCTTTTTTCCTTTTCTCTATATCTTTTCTGTCTCCTCCCTCTCTCACTCTCCCTATCTCTCATTTTCTCTCTCTCCCTCCCTCTCTCCTCCACTGTCTTTTCCTCTTTCTTTTTTCTCTTTTTCCCTCTCTTTTCATTATACTCTCCATGCCCTTCTTACTCTCCACTCTGTTGGGCTGTTGCTTGGCTGTACATCCCAAGCAACGACACATTTCACCACGCAACTTCCCCCCCACATCTCCTCACCTTACTTTAACACCCCCCCCTCCCATCCCTTCAGACCACTGCATGGCGCTACGTGAGGGCTCAGCGGCCGCCGGTCAGTCATGTCTCCTCACAGTCGAGAAGAGACTGGAGCGCGATCAGCGGCGACAGCAGAAGATCGGCGAGAGAGCCTATCAGCGGAGCAAGGCCCAGAACGCCATGTTTGACGTCATTAATCGGGTGATGGGCGCAGAGGAAGGTAAGTGCAGGATGCACAGAGGGGATGTGGGGCAATTTACAGGGGGTCGGTAAAGGTGAGTTTGTTTTAGTTTGTGGGGTGAGAGTTGGGCTGGCAACGAGGCAAGGAGACCCCGAAGAGGTGAGATATTCTGATGGGTTGCGGTGAGAAATTGGGAGTTGTTTTTAGTGGTACGGTAGAATGATGGTGGCGTTTGGGGTTCTCGAGACTGTCTATAACTGGGAGCAAAAGCATGTTCTCCATCGTTTAGACGGTGACAGGAATTGATTGTCGCCCAACTCATTGGTCGTCTAGCGTGAGTGGACCACAGTCTTTCGATCGTTTCGTAGGTTTGCACGCAGGCGCTTTGAAGTGGAATTTCTTTAGAATTCCTTTGTCACCATTGTACCAAGACATTTCTCAGACCAAAATTATCTGGTTCATTGTTAAACTGCAACAAATTTTGGGGTATTGATTAGCTCTGGTGTAAATTATCGTGACAATCTCCTCTGATTGCCTCGCTCTCTGAATCCATATCTGACTCCTTTCCGTAAGTGAGCAATAACTTACCGTAATAGGAGCGATTGGGCCGGTTATGTTTCCGTAAAATGCTATTCAAGCGTTTAATATTTTCAATCGGGACATTTATGCATGACTGCGCTTAATGTCAGCATTACCTACTGTTTGGCGATGAATGAAGTCAGTAAAATCCTGCTGGCATTGGAAATCCAAGAAAAGACGACGAAAAAGGAAGATGTGTGCTGTTTTAAAATGTCTGAATTACATACGAATAGCGGCCATCGAACATTCTCGATAATAGTATCCTTCTTGCCGATGCGTGTTTCGTAACCATTTAGACCACGGATGTTCAGCTGAACTTAATTTATATACAGAATGTATCATTTGTACAAAAAATTTCCTCTAGGAAAATCGTCAAAAGCGGACGTGTCTTTAGATAATCGATAGCCTATAGAACGCATATTGCCCCAGACTGTCTGGTGGTCAGGGGTGCGTCGCTGATCCAAAATAAGGCTTCTACGTAGGCGGACTAAACGCGCAATTCCTACATAGAGGCTTGATGATGTCACATTCGGTGAATACACCGTCGTCGACGCCGTAAATACCTCTGTAGGCTGTAAAGTTCAGGGACGCACGTACCATCGATCGGCGTTGTGCATTGAGGATAAATGTCCTGCGGGCGTGCCTGTATGAATCGCTTCGTGGAAACGCGTGATCATCAGGAATTGGTGTGGTATTCGATACGGACGCGGTATAATCCTGTGGGTCAGGGAATGAGCGGTGTCACCCCCCCCCCCCCCACCCCCCTCCACCACCACTACCGCTACACGACTCCTGGCCGCGGGGGTTGGGGGAGTCGATGGTCTTTGTAAAGTCAATGGTCTTTGTTGGGTCGTGGGACAGAGTTTGCTTTCTGACGTATTCTGAAAAAAATGTTATTTTGTAATGGCCACCAAGGAGCGTGTATGTTGAATGTTGATATGTTGATGTAGTCAAGTAATGGGCATTCGTCTTACAAACATGCATGCAAACACACATACGCTTCGGTGTAGTGTAGGCGTTCTTGCTATCGCCACGCCCACGGGAGTACTTCCTAATTCCGTAGTCAATTGTCTTGCAACTCAAAACATTGGTATAGTTCTTTCCTGACTAGGAGTGGCGGTATTGTAAAGGTCACCGCTCCTTGTCAGCTATAGCGGCTATTCAGTGGGTGACTCTTCCGTCCCCTGTGGACCCGAGTGGCTACTGTTGTTCGTGACCGGCTCAATACCAATGGAATGTGACACAGCGAGCGACGGGTGAGCCCGCGCTGTGGGCCTTGTAAAGGTCAGAGCGGGTCACCGCCGGCCGGCGCCGTGTACTCGGCTGGTCCCGGCGCGGTGACCGTCCGAGCCATCCACTCAGCAGAGATGTGAAGGGATCGGGGCGGAGTGGGATGCTCGAGCTCGGCCGCGGCGGGTTTCAGCGGGCCATCGCCGGCGTGATGGTCTCACTGAGCCTTTCAGAAGTGCGGCCGAGCTGGCAGAGTTTGATAGAGTGCGGAGCGGATGGCTTCAGATGAGAGCTGAGCAGCGGAGAGGCAGGGAAAGTTCTGCATATACGCCACATGCTGCCCTTGGGACTGATGGTGGCCAGCTGCTGGACGCTAGTTTGGGAGAGTTGTGTCGAGTGAACTGAGTCGACGAAAATGCAACCCGAGTCGGCTTCAATTCAAAGATTCGGACATCTGACGGTCTGAAAAGTTTCGGTGTCGGTGACCATGGCCATGACCTCGCCGCTTTGGTCGGCAATGGTGGTCGCTGTCTGTCACGTCGCAGTTATTGTTGTAACCCATTAATGGGATCAACAACAGCTGCTGGCGAGCACTTTAGGATATTGGTGTCTGAAGTGCTAAAAGACAATTGCCGAATACTTCGTCTGGGTTTACTGTCCAGGCACTTTAGTCTGACTTTTACTGTCTGCTCCTCTTTGATCAGTTTGACGTGAAGAACTTCCGCCCCCTTTCGTGAGTACCACCGGCTGGAAACTATATTCGAACAGGCTGTCGCTGTCGACTTCCGGACCGACCTGATAATTGGTACTTCCAACTGTGACAAATGTGACACCGACTGGTGTGGACAGCTGTTCCAGTCTTTGCTCTCGTGTATCTGGTCGAAGGTCTTCCATGAGGCTTGCTGCAGACTGTGATGAAAAGAACTTATTGCGTCTCATTCAGAAAACGGACGGTCCCTTTATATTTCCAGCCGGTCTTGCGGTCTTGCGGTCTTTCTTGAATATGTGCTGTGCGTTTTCAGCAGTGTTTCGCGGCACCGTATTTCGCAGAAAATTGCAGTGTCATTTTGAAGCCGTTTGCAAAGCGTATGGGATAGCTGTCCTACGGAATCATTAGAATCTGTTGCCACTGCTGGTGAATTTGACTGAGTATTTTGAATTCCGATGGTCGTTGTTTTCCTCGAGTTCGCTCTACAATCAATAGGAAGCTCTGTTCTAATTTCAGCGGCCCGAGCAGTTCGCTCCGCTGACGTGTTTACGTTCACGGTTCAACCGTGTGTGTCTGCGTGCCTCTGTGAGTTGTGGGAACTGTCTGTGAGAGCGAGTGGAGAGAAACGGCGTGGTATTCGGTTCACACGGCAGGTGTCTGGAATGGGTTTTCCTCGCTTCCTTGAAACACAACAGGAACAAAGGGCCGTTGATGGTCTTTGTCGCACTATTGGTATTGACAATGCACACTAATCAATTGTGAGGCTGTGAGTAGTCGTTTCCATTGGTGGGCAATCATGTTTTGCCTCACTGTCATATGTCAATTGATGCGTGAAATGAGAAATCATACGGGTTTTGCTAAGAGAAAATACGAGGATGAATCCCTTTGCTCTGTTTCTCACGCGGCAATGTTGTAGTGTTCCGCGTCACTCTGTCATTGTCTTTCTCTCGTCCCGTCGTTTCTACTTTCGAGATGAACTCCGGTCGTGTTTTCGTTCCACAGCGTTGCTCAACAAGTTCATCTCCTGAGATCGCTGCAATACGACCTTTCTCAACACCTTCCCGTCCACCAACTTCTCTCAACCTCTCACCAACTCCCGCGTAACTTCAGTTGCACCTCGTCCCCCCCTCTCTCTCTCTCTCTCTCTCTCTCTCTCTCTCTCTCTCTCTCTCTCTCTCTGTCTCTCTCCCTCCCCCTCCCTCCCTCCCTCCCTCTCTCTCTCTCTTTCTTTCTCTTTTCTCTCTCCCTCTCTCTCTCTCTTTCTCTCTCTCTCTCTCTCTCTCTCTCTCTCTCTCTCTCTCTCTCTCTCTCTCTCTCCCCCCTCCCTCCCTCCCTCCCTCGCTCTTTCTCTTTTCTCTCTCCCCCTCTCTCTCTCTCTCTCTCTCTCTCTCTCTCTCTCTCTCTCTCTACCAGTACCACCTTCCTGTTTTGCTTACCACCACCTCCACCTCACCTGTTCTGCTCGGCCGTCTCCCGGGGGAGCCCCGCAGCTCGGCCGGCCCGCACTAATGACGGCATTACGCCACGACGCCGCCGTGTGTATGTGTGTGTTTGTGTCGCACGTGGTGGCACCGCGATGGGATTGGCGGAGAGCCAACCGGCATCCCGCCTCGCGTCCGATGTGCACGGTGGGGGTAGGGGGAGGCGGGTTGTTCCCGCACGAGTCGGATAAATCCGATGAAATTTGTCCGATGTTTCCGGTGCGGGGTGGTTTAAACATTGGGAACGTTTGATAGACTATGCTGTATCTGTGGATGAAATTTGGACGTGTGTATCCGTGTTTTGTATTGTATTTTGGTGGTCTTCCGTGAATTGTCGACCTTGAGGCTAATCGAGTTTGGACTCAGCAGCTTTTTGGGATCGTACCAAGCCGATTATCCGAAATTATAGCGGACATGAAGTTGCAGAGTTGTTAGAGCCGTCTTTCAATAAAGTTTTCGATTATGCTTAATCATCCCATGAAATGCGACAAGGCACCTCGAAATACATTTTAAAACTGGACGGTCAAGTCCAGCACTCTGTGGGATTATTTGTAATTCAAAGTAGCTCCTTCATTTCCTGAAAGGGTATCTTGTAATGAGATCTTAACTGGTTTCGTGACCGTACTCTCCTTTGCCACCATCAGATTATAGAACTGTAAATACATATGAAATATTCTTTGAACTTGCTTTGCTAGATTGATTGTATGAGATGCGTGTTATATAGCGTTGTGTGCGACGTTGCTTTTCCATGAAACATATTGCGTGGTATTTAATTGATAGTGGGGGCATTCCACGATAGATCGTACCACTTTTTTCCAATTTGACACCCTCATCTCTCGGAATTTGACGAGAATTGGTCCGAGGGGTAATCAGAGGCTCTGAATCCACCTGTAACAATTTCAAGCTTATCAGATAAGTATTTTTTGAGTTATGGTGTATGACATTTTTTGGATCTTGCTTTGCAGCGCTAAGTTTGGCGGGCTGTAACTCTAAGACGGATTATTCAAATGCCAAATGTTATATAACATTGAACTTGCAATGAAATAGAGATTAATATGTATTTTTGAAATTTTGAAAAATACGCTATTTTTGAAATATAACATATCGAGTTTTCTTTCATTTGTATTTTTTTGGACCTTGGGACCAATTTTTTTGGATTTTTTATTTCTTTAAAAAAATAGTTGGCTCATTGTGAAGAAGTATGCAAAAAATTAGGAAGGTGTTCTTTCTATAAATGTATTTACTTTACGTCACGATAACGGTTTTGAATAGTGATTTCGGGAGGGGAGCTTACAAATGGCGTGGTAAAGCTGCCTAGTGACATCACGGGGTACTGAAATTTCAATTGAAGTCTGAGTCATCTAAAAAAATGAAAAGAGGGTTCATCCAACCCTCTTTCCTGTAAGCGCGAGAGTGAAAAAGGCTGTTTGGTTCTGACATTGTTTTGGACGCCAATGACCATAGCTGTCCGAGATGAAAGTTACAGGACGCATACATGGTGTCCTCCAGTGGTCTCACAACTTGTATATCTGGGAATTTTTTAAGGTCACATGAGGTCAGGTCGGTCACGTAACATCACTGTTATAAGTCAATGGGGAAATATAAAAACTGTTATTTTGGCGCCGAGAATGATCTAAAACTATCTCACGTACATGGTGTCGTGATTTCATGCATTCCCTGCAAAGTCCAATGCTTCACTTTTGCATTGTTAACCTTGCGTGACGTCATTTATGACGTCACTAGGGTCATACGAGTTTTTCGTCAATAACTCCCGATCAAATTGAGCTAGAGAGTCGGGAAAGTCACCAATGGACTTGGGAAGACCTTCCGAATCGAACGATATGCCATATGATACCCTTTGCCCAGCTTCGTGACCTGAGGGGCTCTGACCTGACCTTGACCCGAGGTCAACTAGTTAAGTTGACCTCACCCTAACAAAAAGTATACCATTCGACGCACCTGAGCTAGGCGAACACAATGATGCCAAAATCGCGGCTCTGCGGCCATTTTTTGCGAAGTTATTTACTAAAAACCGAACTCGGAACTTCAGTCACTTGACATGACCTCAGACGCTACCGGTTAACCTGAGACCTTAAAATCGGGTACCAATCGCTGCGACTTGTAACGGCACACACGTTCGCTTTTTCCGCGAGGCTCTAGCTCTATTAGAAGCGAAACGGTGTGCTAGGGTCGCATCAACCCCTCCGAAACCCATTTTGTTTGCGGGAAAATGAGGAACTTAGAGAAAGAACACCTTTTTAATTTTTTGCATGTCGATTTGCAATGACATGAAGTTTATTTTGAAACAATAAAAATGTGAAAAATTTTGGTCCCAAAAGTCATTAGAGGCAAATGAAAAAAGATTAAGGTTTTTGTTCAACAGTGAAAATTTTTCTTTGGACTTTTTAAAAAGTAATATTAATTTTTGATTCATCGCAAGCTTAGTGTTGTTTACCGTTTGCTGGTTGCTTGACCCGTTCTTGAGTTATAGGCCATCAAACTCACCGTTACAAGCCGAAGTTAAAAAAAATGTAAAGCAATATAACTAAAAAAGTTTTGATCTGAGAAGTCTGATATTTTGCCAGGCGTCTTTGGGGCCTATGATTACCCCTAGGACCAATTTTCATTAAAATCTGAGAGATGAGGGTGACGGGCCTGGTACGATCTATCGTGGAATGCCCCAGTGGGCAGGAGGTGCGGGCTCGCAGATAATATTATTGTTGTCGTCATTGTGGTCATTGTCATTGTGATTGTCATGTCAGTGTCGTTGTCATTGTAGTATGTCGTTTCTATCAGCTGTTACTATCGTATAGTATTTATGCATCATCGGTGTGTAAATCACCCCATCGTCATTATCATCACATACCTATCCGTGGCTAATGTGACCTCTGATCCTGTTCACAGCTGTGCTAACTCACCCCTATCCTCCATCCTTTCACAGATGGTGAGGACGACCGGCCGCCGCGACCCGCCCCGGTGAAGTCCGCCTCCCGGGCCGAGCTGAACCTGCGTGACCTGAAGGTCGGGGAGCAGATCCGAGCTGCCGAGCGCCAGGTGGCCCGGTTAGAGGCCGGGTGTCGGAGGAACAGCGCCGGAGCCACGGGGGCCGACCTGCGGTCCCGGCTGGCCGACCAGAAGGCGCACCTGGGTAGGTTACGGGCCCAGGAGGCCAGCATTCACGCGGAGAAGAGGGAGCGGACGACCAGTAAACGGTTAGATGTGTTCTGATGGAGGTGGGGTTAGACACGGCTGGGTCCGGCTGGGTGGGGATACGGGTGAGGGATGGTTGTTGTTGGAGGCATCGAACATCCTTTCTGGGCTGCACATTCGCCCTCCATTGTGATATGATGTGGTTTGAACTAGATTGTATGCGTAACATAACGAATCATTATGTTAAGTTACATTTATGTAACTGACACAGTGAGAACAGGGCTGAAATTGTCCTGTTCTTTTTAGTTTTCACCACGTCGTGTAGATCACCACGTGTAGACCGTTGATGTTGTTACCATGCGCTGACACGCAAATACCCGTGGGATTTTGCAAGCTCCATGGTCTTACGAGTGCTGCCTGTATTCTTCCTAATGAAAACGAGGAAGGACGGAAGAACTGGATTCTTCTTTCATCATTGGTGTTTATATTGCTTTTATATTCGACCTCCTATTGAACGTTCGCCATTGTATAAAACGACCATTATCTACTCCGCCTGTTGTTTTGCTTTTGCTCGTCTGGGTGTGTGAGGCAAGAATATCTTCGTGTAAAAACTATGCATGCAGTAGGATTGTTCAAGTCAGACGTACCACTGTCAATCGCCGCTCAGTTGTGTATTTATTGTCATGTGAGAAAAATATGCGACGAAAACAAGGAAGCTGTAGTATTTTCTGGGAAGCGGACATTCCACAAACCCGGAAACTAATAAGCGATGCTTTCTTCTGAGTTCTGGCCGTCTTCCCGCAATCTCAGTTTCAACAACGGCTAAGCAGCATTACTGCTCTGAATGGGAGCACCAAATGTGACCACAAGAAAGGTATACTAAAATGAATAATGAAAGCGGAGGCGTTGTCCGCCGCTGTGTTGTGCTACGTGCTCCTGTGACAGGCTGTTTATGACGGCACGATGACGTCATCCGACGTGTCAAAACTTCGCCGGGACGGTGCAGCAGTGAGTCAGCCTCGGGTCGGATGTCGGGCCCCGATCGCCGCAGCTGCACATAGACAGACTGGTGAACCGGATTTTATTTAACATCGACACCAACCAACAACGCGCACAGTAAATGCGAGAGTGAATGATTATCCTGAACTGCCGATAGATCCCCACACTGTAAACAATTCCAAAAACTACTCATCACATGTCTCGGCCCGGTCTTCCCGCTCGATTCCCTCACATCGCTCGCCATTCAATCGCTAGGCAGTACGCCCCGATGAACCAATCACCGCTGTTGCGGCTCCCGCATCTGCAAACTGAACACAGCACCTTGCTCAGGTGTGCCATTCACTGAGTATCATGTGCGACGAGCTCCACCAACGGGTCGCGCCGCCCGCCGCAGGCAGGCGAGTGCCGCGAATAGCGCTGTGGGAGGCCCGCTGGGACGGCAGGCGTCCTTGTTCCGAAAGCGCAGAGATTGCCTCATGAGATTCATAAAATGACTAGATGCTGTCCACTGAGAGAAATAACTGCGAAGCCTCACGAGATACGGTAGCGCAGCTTTATTTGGCTTAACGTGAGTAATGTTCAGGCTATTGGGAATATTGAAAATTTAGGACATAACTTCCCTGAACTTTTAGTTGAATTATTTTAACTCCGCCTAACTCCGTCCGTTTATCACACAGGAAAGAAACTAACAAGTGGGTATCGAGATTCTTAACTGGATTGAGCCTCGGTAGTTGTTTGACAGAGTCTGTCTGTGGTTGAGGAAAAAGTCACAATGTGTGCGGGAGATACCGAACGCCGACATCAATTTGTGAAACCACGACACGTTGCGGACGGCAAAGCTGTGGTTTAATTAACGTGCGTGCAGAACGAACTTTTTGTCCGGACGGAATTTAACTGACGACGCATCACGCACTGGTATTGAGCCCCTTAGGCTGTTGAGATATACCGTGGATTGCGGATTGTTCAGCCTGTAGCTTTGTCCACTTTGCTCTTAACCCGCGCGGGGCTGGGGGGGGGGTAAATTTTACCCCCCTCGCGAATTTCGGCTATATCTCAAAAACGGCGGCGCGCAGCGCCGCCAAACTTTCAGTACCTTTTCTTACATCAATTTGACATGTTCCCTGAAAATTTGAGCGAAATCCGTCGGAAAATTTTTGAGAAATTGATGTTTTAGTGACGTCATGTTCGCCATTTTCGCCTCAAAAACGGCAAAACTTCAAACGCCGCTAACATCTTCATTTTTCAAGGAATGAAGACGTGTCAAAAAAGGTTATACGTCTTTCTACTTTGTCTATCAAATGGCTATCTCGGTTTTTTGAAAATTTTGGATTTCGGCCCAATTTTTTTCAAAAAACCGACTTTTTTGGGAAAATAGTTATAAAATCCAAAATTTTGAGTGTATCGAAAAAACCGGAATATATATCAGAGAACTGGTCTATGTGCACCTACATACCAATTTTTAGAAGAATTGGTTCAAAAATGTGGGAGTTATTCAAAATTTAATGACGTCACGACACACAAAAAAAAATAAAAAATGAATTTTTTGGAAGTTCTAGACCTCGTACGGAAACAAAAATAGCACCATTCGATTTGCCGTGAAAAACTGCATCAGATAGACATCTTTTAGGCCTTAACAACCAACTTCAAAATTTGACCTCACTTGACCTGACCTTGACCTGACCTCGACCTGAAATTCATCCAGAGGTGGTCCATATTACTTATTGAGTGTGCCTATTGAATTCTATGAGTAAAATGACCCATAAAACATGTGTCGCACATGCCCTTTTCTATATTTTGTTTTTGGTGACCTGACCTGACCTGACCTGACCTTGACCTTGAAATCTGAATGATATTGTATGCAACGAATATTGTCTTGGTAGCCTAAGAACACGTTTTGGGCAATCAGTCTCAGTCCATGACTCCATTCTTCGGCAACTACGGTGCAAGGCCGATACTGTAGAAACTTGCAATTTGTACCCTTGACCTGACCTTGACCTTGACCTCTAATTTTAAATAAAGTACATGTTTTTAGTTGTTCGTGATGAGATCTTTCGATTGGCGTTCGAATTTTTCAAATCGGACCATTAGTTCGGGAGATAACAGGGGGGGGGGGGGTAAAATTTACCCCCCCCCCCCCCCCAGCCCCGCGCGTTCGGCTGGAGACCCCAGCCCCGCGCGGGTTAAAGTATCTACAACTGGTGATACAATAACGCAGCCTATTGCACTTCATGAAAATAGCTTGAAACCATACGTTCGGCATCTTCAATAAACATACCTCCACTTGAACACATACATAATGTCTCATTTGCCGCATACAACAACCCATAAATAGATACAAAAACTATCATAGATTTCAGAGCAGACATTCAATAAAACAATACTGTCGGTAAACTCCTGAAGCGCAGCCCGCGTCGATCACAAAATCTACGTCATCTACTGATTAACGGACATGATGTGGCCGCTCGTTTCGAAGGCTCAGCGCCTGACTCGAATAGCACATCCGGCGAACAACACATGTGACACCACGAATAGCACAGACACTGTGGCGTGTGCGTGTGCCGCCGTACGTGGGTCCGTCGGGGGACCGTGCGCGGGCCCCGGGACCCCGGTGGGGTCTGCTGAGTCCCGGTGGGACCTGGTGGGCCCCGTGGGACTCGAGGGCCCATTATGGGCCGAGCGTGAGGTGGCTGGTGACGGTACAAATCGACATCTGTCGCTGCCGCACGGACACGCGGTCCGCTCCCAAAAACGGACCGTCTGCAGCGCGGGGTCACAACGCTGCTGCTCTGCCATATTGCGGCATCCTACGCCATCGCGGTGACGTCACTTGCGACGCCCTGTGACGTCACGATGTGTGACGTCAGCGGGTCGGGTCGGGGTCTGGGGTGCCCGACGCCGCTACTTGTTGACGAACTGCGACATAAAGTCGATAGGCAGCGGGAAGATGATTGTCGAGTTCTTCTCAGCCGATATCGAGTTCAGTGTCTGCAAAGACAAACAATTTACGGTTAATGACGGTCTAAAATTAAAATGCTGAGCTAAACTGTTCACCAAAACTGCAGCGATCTGTCAAAAGTTAGCACAGCACTCTGCAGGTACGCTACGGGAAATTAATATTGCTGGCATACTCCGCCACAACTCGTCACATTCCCCCTCACCCCACCTTCCCTCCCGTCCTTCCAACGTGCGCCGAACCCTGACCTGCAGGTAGCGCAGCTGCAGGGCCGACGGCGACTCCTTCATCACATCGGCCGCCTCCTTCAGCGCGCGCGACGCCTTGCTCTCTCCCTCCGCAGCGATCACCTTGGCGCGGGCCTCACGGGCGGCCTCGGCCTCGGCGGCCATGGCGCGCTGCAGCTGCACCGGCAGACGGACGTCCTTCCTGCGGGTCAACAGAGGTCACAAGGGTCAATAGAGGTCACAGAGGGCCATATCAGGTCATTGGAGGTCATATAGGGTCACAGGAGGTCATTGGAGGTCAAAGAGAGTCACATAATGTCACCAGAATTCATGGGGGCTATTCAAGGCTATCGGAGGTCATAGCGGATCATGGAAGACCATCGAAGGTCATGACGGGTCATGGGAGGTTATCGGAGGTCACGGCGGGTTATTGGTGGCCATCGGAGGTCACAGCAAGTCACGGGAGATCATCGGAGGTCATAACAGGCCATGGGAGGTCATCGTAGGTCGTAGCGGGTCGCAGACTGACATCAGAGGGTCATTAGGCGGGTCACTGGAGGCTATCGAAGGTCACGGTCAGTCAAGAAAGTCGACGAAGATAGTGCGAGCCGTTTCACAGTCTCGTTTGTCCCAATAATGCATCACACCGAACCACTCGCTACCCCTGCCGAATTCCAGAGTTCCAAACTGTCCTCATCATGGCTTGGGTTATCGCCACGGGCGGCGCGTCACATCTCTGCGGGCGGCCCGTCACATCTCAGCGGCACGCGCCTCTGTGACGGGTGTGACGCATCGCCGCGGCGCCGCGCCGTCAGGGCCGGCGACGCGTCGCGCGCGACGAAAGGTGTGGGCCATCGTCGGTCTCTCCGGGCCGACAGCGCCGCCGTCGTATGTCAGGGCCGTGAGAGACGCGTGAAGACAGCCGTGAAATATCGCCGGCCGGTGCCAGCGCGCGACACATGCCGAATTCGAGCGGGAATTGTGCCGTGAAACAAACTGGACCGCCCGACGTGGGTGGTGCCATGAGGACGGCGAAACGTGGACGTGGTCCTTCGCCGCCTGAACGGTCTAATCGTCACGGTGCAATAATGATCGTTAACTGGTTGCATCAGCCACTACGAGTATTTAGATAAGTCAAATGCATTTGATAACTGTGCACTGTAATACAAATTGCATTGTTGTGTTTGGAACACACGAGACCACGCACCCACGTCGCCGCAGTAAGGGTTTATCCCGTGTTGTCAGCCGGCTGGGCCGCCTGGAATGGTATGCTGTGCCGCCTCACACCGACTGCTACTGTGCCGCCGTACACTGACTGCCTGGCGGGTATGCTGTACCGCAGCACACCGACTGGCGGCAGCGCCGCGCTATGCGCTCGTAACGCCGCCAATTGGAAGGCCACCGTCATAACACTTGGGACTTCGCAGTTGTCGATCGCACACAGTTCTTTTAAGCGCCTACATGGGTATCATGGGTATTCAATATTCATACTCACACTTCGACACGCTCGACCTTGATTCCCCAGTTGTCCGTGGCGCTGTCAAGAGAGTTCTGCATCGAGGCTGATATTCCGTCCCTGCAAGCACAGAAATATAGAGCGATTAATAGGAGTCGCTGTTTTTCTGAAACGATTCTAGGTTGGCTTCCATTACATTGAAAGGTAAAATTGTTAAATGTTGACATCTGCTCAAAATCTCTTATGTCACGGCCGCAGTCGCAGAAATAAATGTAACTGCTTTACCATTACATTTTACTATAAAAAGTACCTACGCGCACTATCTTTTGCATCTTTCATCTTTTCCCCGTCAGCAGGAATATATGGGCAATGCCTGTATCATAACGACTTTTGTTTCTCGTAGAAGAATAACCGTATGCTCACTATCTTTTAACAATCCAAAATTAGCCTAAAATGAATGAATATATTTCGGAAACGTTCCTTCTTCAGTTCAAAAGTTAACTATACAAAGCACAGAAATGTACAAATTATTGAACGTCACAAAAGCGCCGAATTAACTGATCCCACCAACGGATATTAAAGGAACTATCCCACCTTCTAAAATGTTGTTAAAACCAGTTAAATTGTGCCCGACTTTATAGATTGGATGACCAGGAACACGGTTCTGACATTTATTTTTCATTAAACATCTTAGGCTTCCCATATTCCAAACACAAACTTTCAAACATGTGACGTCACAGCCCAAAATTACCTCCTTCCCCAGGCCACATTACTGTCATAAAGCTGATTCTTTTTACTCTGTAGGCACCACAACAAAGTTCAGACCAAGTTTTTAGCGATTTTTCAACGAACAAACCCATTTAAATCAGAATGACTAAACGAGGTGACGTCACACTAACGGTCGCTCCATGTTGAAGATAGGGCCTTGCGCAAGGCCCATTTTTAAATGAAGGGAACGAATTTCTTCAACACCAAGAGGCCGCGGGGGCTGCAACCTAGATAGATAGTGGTTTCTGAACCTCGCCGCAAACTTCTATCTCAACTCTATCTCAACTCAAACCCCATGTTAAAGGTGGGATAGTCCCTTTAATGACATTCTCGTGCCATATAAGTAGCACGGCCTCTTTTAAACAATGTAGGACTAAACCAAACTAACAGGCATACATAAGATAGCGTAACCGAATCTGTGTACAACTGTATGAGATCACTTTGACCCAACGAATTACTATTCTAGTCATCTCACCAACAAACAATATAATTACAACCAACAAGTAATGTGTACACAACCAACTACTCAGTAGATCGATTGTCCAGCCAACAATTTAGCCATTCATCCAATTGTTCAATCCACTGGTTACCCCATTGCATTCAGTCAGGGAGTCGATAAACCTTCAAACATCCATTCAAACATTCAATCAACCATTCTATCATCCAATCAAGCATCCATTCAATCAACCAATCAACCATTCTATCATCCAATCAGGCATCCAATCAACCATTAAATCAATCATACCTGTGATCGTCCATTCAATCACCCTTTCAATCATCCATTCAATCAACCATTCAATATTCCATTTAATCATCCATATAATTATCCATTCAATGATTCATTAAGCATCGGCACTATTTTTAAACATCAAACTAAGCAGTTTAAAAGCCATAATCAGTTTAAAAGCCGTTTAAAACCCGTTTAAAAGCAGTTTAAAAGCAAAAGCAGTTAAAAGCAGTTTAAAAGCCTTCGCCACCTTATTACGACTTTTGTTTCGTTTAATGCTCGCCGGCACGGAACGTTTGCGTCAGAGAAAAAACGAAAAGTGACTAATGTCAATGTTCCAACGACTTGTTTACTACCGTTTGTTGTATGAGATCAATACTTAGTCCGTTCTTGCTACGCACATAATTACCTACCGTTCACTACTTCTTTTGTATTGCTATTAAAAAAAAGGAAGCCCGGGAATCGATAAGTACGTTCGCATGGCTGATGCGGGATCCATTTGTAGCATGCGTTGGAGAATACCTATTCCTTTGATCAAAGGAATAGCTGGGATATAGTAGTTTTCCGTTACATTTCAGCTATTTTATCACATTGGTCTCCCGCTACATCCATATGTGAACCAGGGAATCCCTGGCTCCGTACATTGAGTGCATACCATCCGCTGGACTCACTGGAGCCTGTAAGGACCCATTATTCTCCCGTTACATCCCACTGGAACCCACATACCCGCTGTTCTCCTTTTATACCCCACCCATCCACTGACCGGTCTCCGAGGATCTCATGAAGGTTCTTGGTTCCGAGCATGTTGCGCAGCGTGGTCTGGGCGAGCAGGCGGGTCGAGTGGTGGGCGTTCTCCACGTTGGCCACGCTGATGGTGGCGTTGCTGACCCGGTAGTAGACGACGGCGTCCACCGAAACGGTCACGCTGTCCTTGGTCAGTACCTGAAGGAGAGTGAGAGACAGGGCAGGGACGGTCAAGGTCAGGGTCAGGTCAATAAAGCGTAGATAGGATGCGAAGCTGCTGTCGTTAGACCCTTGATTACAGCTGGATAAGCTGAAAATACGATTACGAAACAAAATTTTGCATTTTTTAGAAGAATATCATACAAAAAGCTGAGCCGACAATATATCGGAGTCTGTTTGCTGTTTTGTTTTGTTACAACGAAACAAAACGAAGCAAAGCAAACAAAACGGAAAAATACGCTGCAATAGGTGCCAACTGTAGGACACATGTAGGGAACGCCAGTGGGCACCGGTGAGTAAATGTCCGATGCATCAGTGTATTTGTCGGGGGAGCGAAGTTGGCCCGACAGGACACGGTCCGTGTGTCGGGCGGCCGCGGCCTAGGACACGGGCCATGTGTCGGGCCAGAGTGGATGGCTCGTTCGTTCGGAGAAGAATGGTCACAGAGGTGGCACCGTGACGGCGACCATCCACGAGGGACAGCGGTGTGCCAGGCGCAGGTTTGGCACGCGACGCCACAGGCTGCCCAGTTTGAACGTCAGGGCTGCCGTGACCAACCAGTGTGCGAGTCCGGTGCTGCCTTGCCGCTCAATGTTTAATGCTCAATCGAAATTTATTATGACTTATCGGTAAGTTACGAACCCTAATACCGGACCTGGTCATTCTGTGTTTAACCCTCGCCCGTAAACGGTATTTTGCCACCTTCGCCCATGCAGGGGGGGGGGGGTTGGTGCGACCCCCCCCTGGCGTTTGAAAACGGAGCGTCGTAGAGCTTAGCGGAAAAGACCAGCGGATTGCTCTCAACGAGATCTCGCGATTAGTGGTATATTTTTTGGTCCTAGGTCAACATTTAACCTACTTATGACCGGTCAAAGGTCAAATTTTCGGAAAAATCTAACTTTTTCAGATTTCCGCGCCGATTGCGGCAAAACGGTAAGAGATATCGACTTGAAACCTTCACTATCGTGATCCTTGATCAATTCTCTATCGTTTGGTGTGTATTTCGATGTCATAACTCTAAAAATGATGCGTTGGGAGCATCGGAAGTCTGCAAGGTCATTTGTGCATTGGGTCACGTCAGGCGTGTGACGTCACTGACCTGACCCTGACCCAAAATGAACTACAAGAAGCATCCGACGATGCCTGAAATGGATAGCAAATTCGAATTCAGGGCATCAAAATACCCCGAAAAGGCAACAAGTGCATTACAGGTCAACCGAGGTCACTGACCTGACCTTGACCTTTAGTAACCTTGAAAAGGTCAACGGACATTGTGCCAATGTCAAATCAGCCAGTTATGATTCTAAAACAATCCATCAGTGTGTCAGGTCAGTCGGCATTTATACCAATGTGAAGCAATCTCCAATTTAGCGTAAATCTGGCCGGAGGTTGTTCCCTTTATGACGTCATAACTCCGTGACCTGACATGACCTTGACAAAAAAAAATACCAAAAGTTGCGCAAAGGATGCCCCATAGGGTACTGAAAACTTGAGCAGGCTATCTGAAACGGTTCGGCGTGTAGCTAAGAAAAACCTCAGGGGGGGGTTGCACCAACCGCCCCCCCCCCTACATGGGCGAGGGTTAAGACCATCCGATGACCAGTCCACTTTTTGTGTTGTTCGTCATTGAGAAAGTGACTTTCTATTCAAGAGATGCAAAATCATTAAGCCTGTACGCTGCTATGTGAAGCCGTTAGCTGGCCACCCACGTCTAGAAATAATATCTGCTATCCGTTCAATCTGTCACCGACCACTGCCTCACAACAAAACGGAGACGTCTTGTCAACACGAGTCTTGCCAAGTTCCATCGCGGGCCAGATCAGATATGGACTGTTTTTGTGAGTCTTCCTGACGGGAGAGGGAGAGAGGGAGAGAGAGAGAGGAGAGAGCGCGACAGAACAGACACAAACATCCTGTCAGATGGTCTGTGTCACCAGCCCCGCAATTGTTGGCCGCCGCAGTGACAGATCCACTCGGCGTCTAAGCGTGCTCAGGAGAGGGACAACAAAGTGCCGACCGGCTCAAGTGGCCTCAAGAGACGAGAGCGGACACGAAACATACGCTGAACAGAGGTGTGAAAATATGCTGCTGACGGTTAGCGCGCTCTTACCTCTTGCGGAGGTACGTCGAACACGGACGTGCGCATGTCGATCTTGGTGTAGTTCTCGATGCATGGCAAGATGAAGAATATTCCTGCGAAAGAGCACATGTGTTGGTAAAAATGTTATAAACTTTAGTGATTTTGATTTATCATTCCAGCCTCATTGTGGGTAAGAAGACGTTTGTAAAAAGTTATAGGGAAATAGCAGAAATCCTTTTGCTTTTACGAAAAGTTGACGTATGAGACAGGTAAATGACCTTTGACAATACTTTTTTAACCCTCGCCCGCACATGCCATTTTCCCATCCTAGAACGCACATGGGGGGGGGGGGGGTTGCCACCCCCCGCGCCATTTCGTTCCTGTTGGAGATAGAGCTTAGCGGTAAAGACCAAAAAGATTCTTTGGGAAGAGACAAATCCAATGATACCCAGTTTTACCTTCTCAGGTCAGTCATTGACCTTCCAGGTCAGGTCAAACTAAAAAATGTTGCTGTTTTAGGTCACCGTTGGATATCAAGCGCGCTGCTTGTCATATACCGATGACGATGCCGTTTTCTGGTGCCAAGCCAGCTAGAACCTCTTTGTCACACTACCCGACCAGGTTTTTGCTGCTGAGGTCATCTCAGGTCAAGTTAGGTCAAGGTCAATAATATGTGTTTGTATGTCTGTGTGTGTCTGTGTGTATACTGATGTGCGCACCGATTGTTTATGTGTCCATATTACATGAAATCATGATCTGAGAAGCTTTTACCAAAAATGTAGTCAAAAAATTTCAAAAAAAAGTAAATTCAGCTTGCCTAAAACGCAATTATCTTAGATGACCTAGGTTGACCTTGACCCTGACCTTGACCTCTGTACATCGTCGAACAACATGTTTCATGATAGGTGGGAGGTAGGATTGGCATAAAAGGCCGAAATCAAGGTGTTAAAAGCTCACAAGGCCCATAGCCAACGCAAGATGTTGAGAATTGGCCATTTGGGTCATGACATGACCTGAAAAACAAGGTCATATCTCCGAAACCAAAAACCACAGCAACTTGAAATTTTCAGTGGACATCAAGAAAGGATAGAGGAGCAGCTATACGAAAAATCAGCCTTCTAGCTCTAAAAATGTTGAGTGCAGAGCAGAAAGACTACCTGGGGGGTGGCAACCACCCCCCCCCCCCATGTGCGGGCGAGGGTTAACATCTTGTTCGTCCCAAGTTATAGTTCCCCTCATCTGACGTCTAATTAAAATTAAACGGCTCGATTTCAATCTCGAAATTAAATTTGCCGCCTGTAATGGAAGCGGTCCGGCGGCGGGCGTTTCGTCACCGGGCCTTCACGCACCGCCGACTGCACAGTGCGAGCAAATCCGGATCAATGCTGCCGGGCCGGCGCCAGAGCGACCGACCCGGACCGCGACCGCACGGCCCTCAGCTGAGCCGTCCAAAACACATCGCAGCCGGTGGCGCACGGCGGTGGCACTTTTCATTACGGCGAAATAGGGGCGACTTGATCCTGGTAGCAGCCGCGCAGTGGCATGATTCATGCATGCCGTCGTGGGTCACGTGAGGTATACAGGAGGATATGAGGTAGGTATGCCTATATGTGTGCGCCTACATATGCTGTGATGCTCGTCGAGTGATGTGAGGCATATGAGATGCCACAACATCACTGTTAGCCGCGCCAATCGTGCTGCAAGTTAACCCGCGCATGACTGGGGGGGGGGGGGGGCTCTACAGAGCCCCCCTCATGTTTTTCAGCAATATCTTCTAAACCGTTTGACGGATCAACACGAAACTTGCGGTACCCTCAGAGGCATCAATTTGACACCTTGTATTAAAATTTCAACTTTCTAGCTACCATAGTATAGCCGGAAATGACGTCAGAGTGACGTCATGTCGGCCGATTTTAATGCAAATTACTGAAATACGGCAAACGCTCTCAAGAGCTAAGTTTTAAAGCTAGATCCATTTTCTTTGCATGAGTGGACTACAAACACACGTAGCTATCGAACTGCTATCTCGAATTTTCGAAATTTTGAAAATTTTGAAAAATATTCATTTACAATTACAAAATATATTTTTTGTTTTTTTTTCAAAAAGTTTTTGACTTTTCGCAAAAACCTGAATATGTGTGATAGAACACACACTGATAAACTAGATTTCCAAGTTTTAGCCCAATATCTTCAAAAATAGCTAAGTTATTCGCATTATTGTCAAAATTTTACAATTTTATGTTTTTTTCAAATCCATTTTTCAGTACGTTTTTGACGTCGTACAGCAATATAAATGGCACCACCGTGTTCCTGAGCTCAAACTGCATCTGATAGCCACCTTTTTTGTTGAAAAATTTCATTTTCAAAAATTTGACCTTTTCTGACCTGAAAGTGACCTGACCTCCGGTAAATTCAGCTGACAATGACCTCAAATGACACAGACGACACTATTTTTGAAATCTACGAGTAAAATGGACCATAAAACATGCATCACGTGACCGATACATGATATACAATTTTCGTGACCTAGGATGACCTGGCCTTGACCTTAAAAATTCGAAGTAAAAGTTCGGTACCCTCAGGGTATCTAAGGCAACCGTCAAGGAGTGCGTAAACCAAAAATGAGCCTGATCGGACCGGCGGTCCGGCGGTCAGAGCCTAAATTGTGAACTAACAAAAATGTCGATAATTTTTACTTTGACCTGACCTGTGACGTCATCGGTGACCTCGAAGTCAATGAAAATAGGTTTCGCTCGACAGTTTTTCCAGGGCTATCAGACACCGTTTGAATTTTGACGATCGGCCCAGTAGTTTCGGAGATAGGAGGGGGGGCTCTGGAGAGCCCCCCCCCCCCCCAGTCACTCGCGTTATGGAAAATACCCCAGTCATGCGCGGGTTAAGAAGCACAGATAACAGTAGTGCTACCGTTATCTGTGTAATAAGGCATTTGATGGAATAATTTAGGGCTATAAAATAGTATTTAAGTAATTTTCCGATCGTAAACTATTTGATGTTCCAGATCAATCTACCCAAAATTAGGTGAATCATGGGGTTGGGTAAGTTATGCAGTATAAACTGAAACATAATGTTCAGTCTTCAGGAATATTTTGCAATAAAATTGAATGCACTGTAGTGGCAGCAACGCATTACTAAGTTACAACTCGAGCGTGGATTCTGGACGATACATAATGCTAGTGGTAGCTGCCTGGTCGATCAGCGTTATATCAGGCTCGATAACTGATCAGTCTAATGAAGTTATTTTCAGGCTAGCGTTCATGACTGCTGTTCTGTATGCTGGCTTGATCCACGTTCTCGGTTATTCTGTGGTCATTGTTGCATGACAGAGGTATTTGGCTAACAAGTTTGCCAATCAAATAAAGGAAAGCTGCAATGTTATATTTAAGCAAGAACGAAGAACATCTCATAAATGAAACAGTGGACACACTCAGGATCGGTAGCCAACGTGCAGTGCCTTACCCCGACGTCACTAGGCGTCTGAGAGGAGCGGTAAAACATAGTCATTGCCCTATTACGATCTCGGAAAGTGAGCCTACCTGGGCCTCTGGCGCCGCCGGACAGCAGCCGTCCCTATCGAGCCCTATCGAAAGTCGCCTTACCTGGGCCTCTGGCGCCACCGGATAGCAGCCGTCCCAGTCGGAAAATGACCGCCCGTTCATATTCCTGCACCACCTGTCGACAAACAGCTGGATGTCAGTCCGTATTACACGATCATGCTGCCGATATTCAACACTTGCACCTGGCACAAATGAATAATCATTAGTTGCATCCCCATCTAAAACTGAGAGTAGTCGTTTTTCGTACCTAATTTAAAAATAAAGTGCACTCAGTTTTTGTGAACATCTCTTTGTAAGGTAGGTATTCATGCTTAGCAAACTATATGTTTCATTTCATGGATCAGTAGTTTTGAAAAATATAAAACATAGCCGCCTCGAAAGTATGCATCCTGTTATGATTCGGCTGTGGTATGCAACATCCGCGTAGCAAATGTTTGGTTAGAAAACAGTTTACAAAGACCAAAGGCCAATGCCAGTGTGCCAGTAGTAGTGTGCAATGCCAGTAGGCAAAGCTAGAGCATGATCGTGGATCATCATGACCGATTGACCGATGACCGATTACGTCGATAAATGCCGTTAAAGATGAAAAATCCTGGAAATTGAGCAATGTGATTGATATCACGGGCGTAGTGTGTAACTGATCTCAGAATCGGCGCAACTAATTCGCAATCCCTACAACTTTGGACTCAGTGCGGGACCGTTAACTGCCTGAACGAAGTTATCCATCACCCGGCGAGATATAAACTAAAAGTGACCTGTAATCTTCCAAGACGCATGGCTTCCGTAAATCTCTATAAACCGTGACCGACACGGGTGCATTAAATTGCTATAAACCACAACTAAGAGACTTTTACAGATTTCGTTTCATTTCATTGCCACCTCCCAACTTACCCTCTGGGCTCTGTAGTTTACCTACCCGGAAGCAGACGCAGAGCGAGAAGGGCAGGGTGCACAGGACCAGTAACCATGAGATCAGCGTCAGTAGCACACCGCACAGGCCATTGTCGCCGCTGTTATCTGCAACACAAAAGGACGCAGGTCAGACACGGAATCGTTAACAGGCGAGGGCTAAAGACCAGAAGGTCTGATGCTTTTGATGGTAGCCGTGATATTATATCAGACAAAAGTACCTACATGTGGCCGGTTTTGCAAAAAGTATCGAAAAGTTTTGCTCCCCAGGTCTAATCTAACGTATTTGGGGGTGCTGATCACGAATCCGGCGGAAAAAATATAAAATTCGAATTTTTTTTGACCGCCCCGGCTCTTTGAATATTTCCGGTTTTCTCAATTTTGCATGTTTTTGAATAATATGATGAATGCAATGAAAAAATATTAACAATGTATCGCTAAATGCATGTACCAGTCGATTCGGCATACAGCGGCGTCGAAATCGGCACGCCGCCTGCTTCACCGGCCTCGCAGGAAAGCATAAGGCTCGGAAGGTTTGCGTTAGTTACCCGATTCTCTCCATAGATGGCGCTGGCGTAGCCGCCCGCCGGCCGGTCGTTGCCGTGCCGTTCACAGCCCCGGCGGTCACTTGCGACCGTCGTGGTCGTTATGCTACGTCTATCAAAGCACGACAGAAATGTTCACTTCATTTTTATGTTACTTCAGACATATTTTAGACCTAATGTTGAATTGGATAAATGACTATCGTGAATTGGCGAAATAGTGGAGTGCGCTCGGGAGCCATTTACAATAGCGAGGAACGTAGGTGGATTGATCTGAGTAACATATGACACTGCGTTCACTGTTGATATGAAGTTTATTCACACTATGTAGTCGGGTGACATGAGAACAAAGTGACTAACATACCTTGTGTACGACACATGGATGAAGCTAATGCTACTTTTTCATTTTGTTTCGGTAGGCCCGTTTGTTCAGAGCGTAGCCGTCCTGTCGGTCTGCGCCTGTTACAGCTGTGACTGATTCGGTGGTCAGCTTTACAGCCCTTTCGGTGGATTGGGTATGGCAGGGGACCCCCGTTTTAAGGGGAGTCTGTAGAAAGTCGCGCAACTCATCCTCGCTCATGTGTCGTACACAAGGGGGCTCAATGTCTCGGCCCTCGGCAACCGCTCGCTGCACGTTAACCAGTTCCATATAGTTGTTCGCTTGAACGTTAATTTCCGGCAGCCGGAAGTGCCGAATGGGCTGCTGCTGTGGCGGTGGGGGTGGCAGCTTTGGCGGCGGTCGTGGCGGCGGTGCCGGCGGTGGTGGTGGTGGTGGTGGTGGTGATGGCCGCCGCCGTTTCAGACGCCGCTGCTGCTGTTGTAGCGGCGCCGGCGGCGGCGGCGTCGGCGGTGGCGGTGGTGGTGGTGGCGATGGCCGCCGCCTCTGTCGCCGCTGCTTCTGCTGTGGCGGGGGCGGGAACGGCGGCTGCTCCTGTCACTGCCTTTTTTGACGAATGCTCTGGATTATGCGGACTGCATCTGTCCTAATGCCATGATTTTCGCGGCGATGAAAATCATGGCATTAGGGCAGATGCAGTCCGCATAATCCAGAGCATTCGTCAAAAAAGGCAGCGACAGGAGCAGCCGCCGTTCCCGCCCCCGCCACAGCAGAAGCAGCGGCGACAGAGGCGGCGGCCATCGCCACCACCGCCGCCGCCACCGCCGCCGCCACCGCCGCCGCCGCCACAACAGCAGCAGCGGCGTCTGAAACGGCGGCGGCCATCACCACCACCACCACCACCGCCGCCGCTGCCACGACCGCCGCCAAAGCTGCCACCCCCACCGCCACAGCAGCAGCCCATTCGGCACTTCCGGCTGCCGGAAATTAACGTTCAAGCGAACAACTATATGGAACTGGTTAACGTGCAGCGAGCGGTTGACGAGGGCCGAGACATTGAGCCCCCTTGTGTACGACACATGAGCGAGGATGAGTTGCGCGACTTTCTACAGACTCCCCTTAAAACGGGGGTCCTCTGCCATACCCAATCCACCGAAAGGGCTGTAAAGCTGACCACCGAATCAGTCACAGCTGTAACAGGCGCAGACCGACAGGACGGCTACGCTCTGAACAAACGGGCCTACCGAAACAAAATGAAAAAGTAGCATTAGCTTCATCCATGTGTCGTACACAAGGTATGTTAGTCACTTTGTTCTCATGTCACCCGACTACATAGTGTGAATAAACTTCATATCAACAGTGAACGCAGTGTCATATATTACTCAGATCAATCCACCTACGTTCCTCGCTATTGTAAATGGCTCCCGAGCGCACTCCAATATTTCGCCAATTCACGATAGTCATTTATCCAATTCAACATTAGGTCTAAAATATGTCTGAAGTAACATAAAAATGAAGTGAACATTACTGTCGTGCTTTGATAGACGTAGCATAACGACCACGACGGTCGCAAGTGACCGCCGGGGCTGTGAACGGCACGGCAACGACCGGCCGGCGGGCGGCTACGCCAGCGCCATCTATGGAGAGAATCGGGTAACTAACGCAAACCTTCCGAGCCTTATGCTTTCCTGCGAGGCCGGTGAAGCAGGCGGCGTGCCGATTTCGACGCTGCTGTATGCCGAATCGACTGGTACATGCATTTAGCGATACATTGTTAATATTTTTTCATTACATTCATCATATTATTCAAAAACATGCGAAAATTGAGAAAACCGGAAATATTCAAAGGGCCGGGGCGGTCAAAAAAAATTCGATTTTTATATTTTTCCGCCGGATTCGTGATCAGCACCCCCAAATACGTTAGATTAGACCTGGGGAGCAAAACTTTTCGAAACTTTTTGCAAAACCGGCCACCCTAGCCGTACATATACATGAACTGTAGAGAACAAATAATCACGAACGTCGCGTTTTATTAAGCATCATCCCATATTCCGAAGCAATTTATATCAGCGAAATGTTATAGCTGGTAGGTAGTGGGCATCTTAAAATATACAAATTGCGGATTGGTGGAACGGGCTTTTTAAGTCCGCTGATTTTCCCAGCTGATATTCATCCGTTCGCCCCGTAACAATACCCGTGGTTTGGCCTATAACACATGGTCAATGGCATCAATAATGCGTAACTCTAGATTGGATTCGGACCACGTAGCCGCCAAAACGTTTGGGGGCTAAAATTAGAACGTCCAAAGTCGATCGAAGCGGTGGGACGCACCAACCATTCAATAACACCGACAAGCGCACGTTTCATTTGTTCTATTTTAGAGACCCGATGGTGAAAACAGCCTTACTCGAGCGTCAATACACACAAACTCGGCGTCTGGCGTCGGTTGTAACGGATATTGTACGGCAAGCTCGATTGACGCCTTAGCTGGCACCTTTTCTGACGAAAACACGGAGCTTGAGAGGCCGCCGGGTTGGTATACTACCCAGCTGGAGCTTATGAGCCTGATGAACCTCGTGACTTGCCACTAGGGAGGCTTAACTATGTGGTTGGGAGAATGAATGGTCGGGGTGCGACATTCATTCTTCCTGGCAGCTTTAAAGGGACTATCCCACCTTCTAAAATGTTGTTAAAACCAGTTAAATTGTGCCCGACTTTATAGATTGGATGACCAGGAACACGGTTCTGGCATTTATTTTTCATTAAACATCTTAGGCTTCCCATATTCCAAACACAAACTTTCAAATATGTGACGTCACAGCCCAAAATTACCTCCTTCCCCAGGCCACATTACTGTCATAAAGCTGATTCTTTTTACTCTGTAGGCACCACAACAAAGTTCAGACAAAGTTTTAAGCGATTTTTCAACGAACAAACCCATTTAAATCAGAATGACTAAACGAGGTGACGTCACACTAACGGTCGCTCCATGTTGAAGATAGGGCCTTGCGCAAGGCCCATTTTCAAATGAAGGGAACGAATTTCTTCAACACCAAGAGGCCGCGGGGGTTGCAACCTAGATAGATAGTGGTTTCTGAACCTCGCCGCAAACTTGGCTATCTCAACTCAAATCCCATGTTAAAGGTGGGATAGTCCCTTTAATTGCGCGATACTACGAACTCAGTGACAAGGCTTTGGACCAATGACATGCAGAATAAATACAATGTCGTAGTGATATTTGGCGGGGAATGCTGGTTTGAGCAAGACATTAGTCGAAAGTGACGAAACCACAGTGAAGGTACTGAGTCAGACAGGTGGGAGGAAGGCAGCGGCCGAGTCGGCAGGGAGGGGAGAGGAGTGGGGAGAGTCCCACCAAGTCCCCGGATCGGGTGATCGTCTGCGCCCCGTCCTGTGGTGATCGGTCAGGAGCGGTGACACCGCCGTGTCGTCACGGTATGTGACAGGAGCTGACACGGGAGACGGTGTGACAGCACCCGTCACACTCGTCAACGGTCCACCGCCGACGGGCTCAGATGAACTCGTCCAAACTGAAACGTCTCACACAAAAACGGGCGACAGATAGCATCAGGGGGCCGAGCCGTTTAGGTATACCTCAGTACAGTCGGAATAACGCTCAGAGACATGCTGTGAGAATGAGTCTCGCGCATAAATATCATGTAATTCCACGCGACAGCCGACACTTTGTTCAACTAGAGCATACGAATGCACATTTCAAACCTCCGGTCGCGGTGCTGACATTTCCAAAGCGCAAGAGCTGAAACAGGCCTGTTTGCCATTCAGTGACAGCATTCCCAGCGGGGCTTTGTCGGAGTGACAGTGGCGCCGAGATCTGCATATTCTGAGGCTGGCGACCGTGGGACGGGTCGGCTTTTGCCGAGACGAGACCTTTTGTGGTAAGCCGTATGACGCTCTCGACAATCCAATGTGACAGTATCTGGCATGCAGTGCTGCTGTGCCGTCTTAGCTCCAATTTGATGCAACAGGCTGCATTGTTTTGGTGACCTCCAGTAACGTAACGTTTTCGCTTATCCTCAAAATTTATGTCTCATTGTCAAGGCGTTTTGACCGTCATACATGCCCGGATTTACAACACACCATGAGTTATCAAAACCAAAATTAAAAATTTGCAAAACAGGCTACCTTCTGTCACCAACCAATAACCAGCGGGCCTTCTTTGTCTCAGTGACGCCCGTGCGGCGTACATTTTC